TCATGGAGAAATTACCGTTGTGGAGGACGGTGTGGAATAGGGCCATCAACGTTCTATCGTCGGCGCCACCGACTTCGATGGAGGCCTGCCTCTAGCGTTATAGGAAACTCCGAAGGGTTTCCTCTTTCTGTTGCCTTACATTCAGAAGGTGGGAGAAATGTTTCCTTGGCCGGTGCCTCCCGGCGAATTATGTCAAGAAACGGTGGGCAAGTTCTTGCCATGAATCTATGTTGTCTTCGGGTAACCGGTTGAACCACTCATACGCTGGTCCCTCCAAGGTGGAAAGGAACCAACGACATAAATATTCATCTGATTCCCCCATTATCATCATGTTATTTTGATACCTGCTGTAGTGCTTCTGGGGATCTGTATTCCCCTCATAGGGTTTGATAGGTTGCCCCCGGTACTTACCGGGGATCTAAGCTGCCAACACCCTTGGGGTGAAGGGGGCCCTCGTGCGAATCTGGATGAGGGGTTCACCTGAACCTTCGGCGAACTTTCGCTTCATTTCCTCCATTTGTGCTAGTATGGCGGCGTATTTTGGATCCGCTTCCAAAGTCGAAGTGGGGGGCGTTTGGTGCGCCTCCTTCTCCTCCAGCTGGCATCAGAGGGCCTCGATGATCTCATCCTTGTGATCCCTCGGGGTAGCCCCTTGGGATTTCGCCCTGAATGATTGGGCGTGGTTGATCTGTTATCCCGAGGGGGAATCCTCTCCTCGGCCTCCGAGACGGAGCCTCCACTCTCCTGTGGCCTGCTGGTCACCTTCCCGCCGAGGCGGTCTTGGACCCCTCGGCGATCAGGAACTCCCCCAAGCCTCTCGAGGGTGGAGGTCCGGGGCTTCTCCTTATTCACACATCGCTTGTCTCGCGACTGGACCTCTTGGGAGGCGTTGTCCTGTGCCACCACGCCCTCGGTATTGCCAATCTGGATGATGGGATTGTTGAATGGAGGGGGTGGCCGAAAATGAATAAAGTTTCCTCCATACTGGGGTTGGAGGGGTGCTTGTGTAACGAAGGCACCGGAGTTTAGGGCCATATTCTGGACGAAGGCCGCGAAAGCGGTCTGAAGGTCGATGGTCGGAGCCGGAGGGGGAACTTGGTTCTCACTCTTCGGTTATCAAGGCTGATGTGGGCATCGGGGACAGCCTTCTGGATGGCTGACGGAGGTTAGCAGCGGCCTGCTCCATTTCGGCAATAGTGTCTCCCTCGAGAATCCGGTTGGAGGCCTCAGCCCCGTTGGTTTCGCCGATGGCTACGTGGTTATCCTCCATGGTCTTGGATTGACCACGAGTTCTTCCCATCTTGGTAGGTGTTTTGTGTTTGGTGAAGGGAGGGTTTCTTACTTGATTGTTCGGGCTCTCAACGAGAGCACCAAATGATGGATAGTGTACCGGGGGTAGCTTATCCAGAGGGTTATTGCGGAGACTAACTAGAGAGAAGTCAGAGCAAACAAGTAAGAGAGAGTCAAATGTATTAAATGAACTCAACGTGCTTTACAAGGTGAATAAGGGCTGCTATTTATAGCAACCATAAATGCGATGAGAGTACACGTGTCAACAATCTAACGGTCGAGGGGTCACCTCAATCGGGGTGGCACCGACATATGCATGTGCACCACATTAAATGCAGTGCGTGGATGTGACGCCACATTAAATGCGATGGATGGATGTGCGCCACATTAAATGCGGTGGTTTGTCTGTCCCCAAAGGGAATCTTCGATGATTACGCTGTTGCCGAAGGCTCTGTTTAGCCGAAGGCTATCCTCATGCCGAGGGCGCCTATGAGCCGAAGGCTCCTGATTTCTGTTGTTTTCTCTCAGTAGCTTCGTATGCTCAAATCAGGTTGTTCTGTGGAATTTGGAGCCCTCTGCCAAGGAGGCCGAAGGCACTTACATGTGTATTTGTGGGCTTCTTGATACTTGGGCCGCCATGTGTGGGCTTTGTGTGCTCCTTGGGCTTGATGGGCATGAGTAGGAGAAGTAGGATCTGTGGGCCGGGGGTCCCCGAGCCATATACTCCATCACTGAGTATGTGGATCATGTGGTCTGGGCTCATATACTCTATCAGGTCAGAACTATCTGATCGAAAGTTTTGTCCGACCGACACCATTTGAGGTGTTTATGGATGGATTTTTTTGATGAAATTTTGTGAACATGTTTTCATGAAGTGTAGATTTTTCCACCAAATTCCAGCTTAAAATTTAATTGTGAAGTCAGTTAAATAAATTATTGAAAAACATTGTGTTTTTTCTATACATTTTGGCGTAATTTTATTCAATAATTTATTCAACTCACTTTTCGATTGAAATTTAAGCTAAACTTTGATGGACAAAATATATACTTCATGCAAAACATGCTCACAAATTTTCATCAAAATATTCCATCCGGAAGCACCTCGATCGAAGGAGCCCGAATATCGGTTCGTGTCTAGTAGTTATGACAGGATCATCTCTCTATTGGATGAAGCAGTCCAGCTCAGCGGTAGCCGACTCACTCTCCAAGAAGGGAGGTATTGGGTTCGAAGTTGCATGAAAGCAGTGTCAGCCCCCTATACCCCTAGTATCGCTACCCTGACCCTTAGAGGTGAAAAAACGAGTTTAATCACTTGATGCACAACTCTCTATGATATATAAATTCGTCGAGTTATCCTATGTGATTTAATAAATGCATTAAAACCTCGTGTTATAGTTATTTATGCGCAAAATCCTCTCCATGAAAAATTAACAATTTGGAAATCACTTACTTATGTTAATATTACTATCGTATTATTTAATACACAAGTATATTTATTAACATCACGAAATTATGCAAAAATATTAATCACTTTCAATTTATTTGGCAATTAAATTGCTCTTACAGAGGGTTTTGCGCATAAATAATTATAATACAGGGGGGTTTTGACACATGTTTTAAATCACAGAGGTTAATGTGCCGAATTTATGTATGCAGGGGCTTTTGGTGCATTAAATCCCAAAAAATATATACTTCATAGTAAATATTAATAGTAAAATAAGACAACATATTAACCTAGGTCCCTTGCTGGACAAGTGGAGGAAAATAAGTGTAAACCCTAGATAGTCTTTTCATAAATACGTAGCTACCTCTGGAAGCTCGGAAGAACAAGACCCTAAACAAACTTCTCTTTTCAAGTTTTTTTTTGAAAATACCTCTCTCTCTTCAAGTTAAGTCATTTTTTTGGTAATACTGAAAGATCCAAACCTTCTTCTTCGAAGTGGAAACGGCTAACCTCTTTTTAGTCTATATGTCCTCATATGTAAGGCGGACCCATGTCAATGGAGGTAGTGTTGGGATATTGGCGTCCGACCCAATATGATGGCCCAGAATACCCTTAAGGCCCAAGAGCAAAGGTAAACCCAAAGTAAAGCAATGAGCTTCCGCACGGGATTTGGGCCACAAAAGAAGACACCTGTTCGGCACATCCCGAACGGGACACAATTCACACTTGGATAACCAATATTCTTCCGGAATGATGACTTAGCGAGTCCCGATGCCGATCGAGGATCCGTACAAGTGGCAGGCTACATTTAATGCAAGAGTATGGAGGTCACAAGTGGGAGCATGAGTGCAAAAATGGCACAAAAAGCAACCAATCACATTGGATCAGCCCAGACCCCCGCCTACCCACATCTAGTATAAATAGCAACATTTATTCCATTGTAAGGGTTGAACATTTGTTTATTCACAAGCAATATACTTCATTCTAGCTCTTGTATTAGTTTGTGGACCGTAACTCCCATTCGTCCATTTCCCTGTAATCGTATTGATTGCACTAATACAATTAGAGCTGTTGAGTACCGTGATTAGTTTTTAATCTTTTCTCAAACACTTTTCTCTACTTGATCATCTCTTATATCCAAAGGTTGGTGTTGGACGACCTTTGGGTTCATCGGGACTTAAATCCAACAATTAGTATTAGTTATCTTGCCATCCCAAATGCGCAATAGTCGAAGTCCAAGAAACTAGAGAGAATCGGAAGAGTAGAAGACAAGCCGCTGCCTGACGTATAATTTCCCGCCCTGTAACTGCCTCATTATCCAATGAGTAATTTTCGTTCAAACCATAACCGTCCCGACGGATAAAAGGTATAGCCGTGGGTAACCGTTTTATTAAATGAATCATTGACATTTTAATATAAAATTTAATATTGTAAAGGGCGAAAAGGTGTATTGCTTAGATGACTCTAGACGTCAGATGCCCGTAAAATTTCGTATATCTACAAGAGAAGAAAAAATGCAACTTAAATTGATCTAAACCTAGAAACACTTAAACTGAAAAAATACTTAATCACGAAAAAATTCTGATAATAATCAAACAAGACTATTAAAAGCTATTGTGAACCTTCATTCATACACTATAATTAATACATCCATTATCCATATATACACAATGAAAAGAGAAAAAAATCATCTTTTATTAGTTGTGGGACAAATAACAGATAAAACTGTAATCAAAATATAACTAAAAATAAACGGAGTGGGTACATGGTAGGTATTTCCACCACCTACACGTTACCCGATCAATGCGGTTTTCTCCATTTTGACTGGGGCAAATCAGTGCAGATATCTGTCGAATCGGTCACAGTTGCCATCTATCCACAACTCTCTTCATGCGACGCAACTATCCCCAAGAATGTCTCTTCTTTTGAGTGAAATGTATTTTATTAATGAATAATGAATTAATGATTTATAACTATTAATTTGTATTTTAACACAAATTATCAATAATTTATTTCTACGGTCATCCTTATGGAAAATTCTCGAAATAGGAGTAAAAAGTTTGAAAATTTCAAAATAGGGCTGACATTTGTTTTTTCAAAATATGAGTAATTGTTGCTAAATTTGAAAAATACTGCCATATTTAAAGTCTGATAGTACCAAAACATGATAATAATTAGTCCTACTTTAAAAATAAAAATATAATAATTCTATTTTAAAATATAAAAACTTTTTTAGTCCTCTTATTTTATTCCTATTTTGTAATTTCCCCATCTTTATTATTTATGTTCTACGAGTATGTCAGAAAGGCCTAATTTTTGTTGCTGCACGCCGGCCGCCGTTTTCTCTCTTCTGACTGCCGACTGGTGACCCAAGCCTCGTTCAGCCGCTTCTGACCGCTGAGCTTTCCTTTCTTCTTATTGTGGACGCAACATCCGTTGCACACTTCTGTACGAACGAGGTATTAGCTAGAAGTAAAAATGCCACTGGGAGAGAGGAAAGGTGATGAAAAGAATGACTCCAAGTACTGCGGGGTCGAAACAGAGTTCGATAGTAACATGCCTCAGCTTCTCACCCGGAATATCCATGGTGGCTTCGACTTCATAGTTGCTCCATTGGTTAGTCATTCAAACTAATGTTGTAGATTTATGTATATATGTACATGTGCTCTATAAAAATGTTTCATATTTGACTTTGTATGATGCTTATATCTGTTCTTTTCAAGTCTGTGGATTTCACATTTTTGTGGACGCATCAAAGGTGATGACCAATTAGCCAATCACATATCAGTCAAGATGGCTAATTCCATAGGTGTTATCGGTCAGTAAGTCACCTATATCAGTATTTAAGGTGCTCCTGCACTTCATGTGGAATGTGCTATTTTTGGTTTATCACTTACAGGCTGTTACCAAAAGTCTTAGGGTCCTTTTAGATTTCTGCACCCATAATGTTTTTCTTGTCTCACTCTAAAACCACACTTGGACCAACACCAATCCGAACTACCCTCTTTGGAGCCTGTGCCACTTCTTCTTTAGCCTTTGGCTGTTGCGAAAGTTTGTCTCCACCGTGGTTAACTACAAGCTCTGGTGCATTGGGCCGGTATATGGGAGGAAGATGCCACATGGGAAAGTCATGAGATGTTTTGCGAGGCCTTCCCCGATTTTGAGCTTGAGGACAAGCTCTTTTCTTATAGAGGAAGTGATGATAACTGATAAGGTCCGGTTTGGTTGTATCTACAAGCAATGCAAGATTGAGAGGCAAATTTGTTTTGACCACAAGCTGTGTTTAGTTATTACTTATTTTATTTGTTAAAATATTTTTCATTCCCAATTCCTGCCAAATTTAGTTATTATAAGTTTTCAATAGTTTAGATCTCTTTCTTATTATTGTTTTAGGAATTTTACTCTTGTCCTTTGCTTATATTAAGCTTATAAGCTGGAGATATATTGGGCACTGGAATACTTATTTCTTTCTATTACTTGGTGGAACCCCACCTATCACCTTCCTTCCCTGGGATGGGAAGTTGGACTTTAATTCCAAGCACCGTAGCTTTGAATCCCTATTATCTTTAACGACCTTGGACTATAGGTGTTTAACAATCACACAGTTCACACCCTATTTCACATAACATAAACTTCATTTTGATATTTATTTGCATATGACAAAGAATTATAATTTAATTTTCCCACTTTCCTCAATGTTTCTATATCATTGTGATTTAGTAGTAGAGCCATGATCTATGGTATGATTGTCATTGTGTGAGGCGCAATTCTGCTGTTCATCTGAACTTTTATGATTACTTTTTTACAGACCTTGCCTTCAAAATTTGCGGTCTTCTACTATTGTAGCCATCCTGACAGTGGGTGATCAAGTGTCTGGTCACAATGTCGTGCTAGACTTGCCGCAATCACCTGCTGCCTAGATGCCACAGTTGGCGACTTGGCACATGATCTTGCCTTCGGTTTCTAGAAGTATCCCCACAATTATATGATTCATATATATCGACTCTGATACACACACACATGGTGGAACACCATATCTATGTGTGCGTGCATGTATATATTATTATTATTATTATTATTGCAATATACGTGTACAACTATATATTGTGTGTATATGATAACATTGTATGCGGTCGAGATTCTTGTTTGTTTTAATTTCAATATTTAATTCAAAAAGTACCTAACTACAACTGTAAGGAGCTTGTGGTCAAGCAGCATAAGCCTGTCACTCTAAGCATGATATTGCAAGTTCAATCCCCAACCTCCTGAGATGTACCAAAAGAATCATGTGTTTTGATTATCTCGTACTATTTTCATAAGGTGGATGCAAAGTTATGCAGTTAGATATCAAGCTAGATGTCAGTGATTAGTTACTATTTTACAATGCAGATGGATCCTAATTATAGACCCAGCTTAATGGAAAATTGTGAAATTGGATCGTCTGTGCTGCCTTTTGCTGGGTCAGACATAGAGTTGAGCCCTTCCCAGTGGAGTGGTCATGTTGTTGGTATTGATTTTCTCAGCACATCCATTCTATTTTTTATTCAATATGCAGTTGCATTCATCTTTGGTTTTACTTATGTGTAGGCAAAATTAGCACTTGGATTGACCTAGATTCTGAGGATGCAAGACTTCGAAGCGATTCAGAGATTTCTTTAAAGCAAGAAATAGCTTGGGCTTCTCACCTATCTCTTCAGGTGTGTAGAAAATTTTCATTGACAACTTGCATCATATATGCACTAATTGTGTATTAGAAAAAGAAGACATGGAATTTGTAGCTGTTGCTTGTAATTTTTCTTGTAAAATTCGTGTGTTGTTATCACTACTTCTACATATCAGTTATCCCATGCTCTTAAACTGCCTTCTTCACCATCCTCTCCTTCCTTCCCTTACACAGCAAGACACTAGTCACTACTCACTGCATACCAACTTTTTATGTCTGTTCAATGGAATCATTTTGTTTTGAAGTAGTCATTTGAGAAATGTATTTTGTATGCAGTTTCGCAGAAATGTATCTTCAAATTCTGACTAGGAATATTTTTTGCAAACATATAGTCATTCCTAATGAGAAACTTATTTCTGTTCATGTTCTCTGATTGGAAGCAGACCCCCCTCCCTCCACATTAATGGTTTAAGTGTTTAACCCACCTTAATCCTAACCTATATGTTAAAAGTTGAAATGTGTCAAATGAGAAAATGACCTCATTGTTTGATTTTCTCCCGTAGTTCCATGTATTAGCCTAAAACCATAATGATTACTTTTTATTTATTTATTTGCGCAGCTGCCGCAGCAACAATCTCTATATTACTTGTGGAACTTGAACATAACATTCCAATGACATAAAAAGGGTTCAAATGGATAATCCTAAACATGGATATGATCAAATGTAAAACTAGATGTCATTTTCATTCCACAACGTTTTAGATATTTTGGTCAAATAAAGACGACATCTTTAAACTTTGGAAATTATAGTCTATAAAAGTTTTAGAATTTGACTTTAGCTTCCGATGGCTTTAAAAGGGCTCAAATGGATATTTGTATACTTAGATATGATCAAATCGTAAGACTTCATCCTTGCGTAAGCAATCAAATTAACTTTAGATGGTTTGGTCAAATAAGGATGAATCTAGAGACCTTATTTTGGTTTTCTTGTAGGCGTGCCTCCTTCCTGCACCCAAAGGAGTTTCCTGTGCAAACTATGCTAGATGCGTGAATCAGATTTTGCAGAGTCTAAACAACATGCAGGTCTAAACCTAGTCCGGTGTTGCTAAGCAACTCTTTTATTATGTTGACTTTGATTTGTAGTTAACTATTACTAAATCCTTCTGTTCTGAAGTTATGGATTCGGATTCCGTTGAAGAAGGCTGATAATCATATTCCAAATGGAAATCCTATTCTAATGGTAAGTGGTCCTTGTTATGTTGGGTTTGTGTGCGTATTCTATTTTAGAAACATCAAGTGTGTAAACGTATATGATACATTTCTATTCTGCCAGTAGTAAGATTGTATCGTTAGCATGGATGGAAGATGTTCTAGTTCAGTTGTCCAATTTTTTATACATTAACTTTGGGCCATCGTTTGTTGGGTCAAATCCTTCATCATGATCTTCTATGCAGGAAACTGGAATCATTTATGATGTTTTTTTTTCCTCTTGCAAACTAGGATGATGCACATTTTGATTCTTGGGAGTTATGGAATACATTTCGAGCTCTTTGCGAACATCATAACCAGTTGTCAGCTGCACTTGAAGTGATGTATGTACTAACAATCAAAATCTCTTCTCTGCTATTCTGATTCTGGTAATAATGACCCTAAGTAATTGTATTCCGAATAAATGCTATTCCCACACAAATTTGGCTACACATATGTCCTTTACAGATCATTATTTTCATTTTCTGATTTATGGATTGGCTGATCCATCATGAATTATATGAAGTGAGCCATATAACTTTGTGTCAATTTATGTATAACTTTTCTTTTCTGTTGCGTGTTAAACAGGCACTCATTGCCACCTGTAAATTCGCTTCTGCGTTGGTTTGGCGAGTCTGTTAGAGCAGCCATAGTTAACACTACTGTATGCAATAATCCCGATGTTCTAACTTACCATTATAGATTTGTTGCAACTCAGATTGTATTATGTCTTCTTAATTGAACCTTAATAAACTTTCCAGGCTTTCCTAACAAATGCACATGGGTATCCTTGTCTGTCCAAACGGCACCAAAAACTATTAACAGGATTTTTCAACCATTCAATTCAGGTAGTTTATGGCCGTTTAATAATTACAACTGCTTGTGTTAATTACTCCCTCCAGTCATATATATCTGTAAACTTTTTGAAGCTTTTGTGGACAATGATCTTCATAGCGCCATTATATAATTGATGATGGATCAGACAATGATCCATCAGGAATCATAATATTTAATAAATACACTGTAATGAGTATAATAATTTATTAAACGATGGAAGTATATTATGTAACCATCCAACACACTTGAGTTGTACTATTTAAACATTAAAGCCTCTTCTAAACAAATAAAAAGGTTATAATTTATTCCTAATGTCTTATTAGTGGGCTGTAAACAGTTGTATCCCTCTTTTGTTTCGTATATTGTATATTTCTTATAGAACTTCTTCTTCAGATAGTGGTTTCTGGAAAACCAGTGCACACTCTTCCATTGGTGAGTTCTGGCTCTGTAGAAGCAGGTAATCCTTAAGCCCGGATCCATTAGAAATTGGAATGTCAAATAGAATAAGGAGTTGCCTATTTGCCTTCTAGGGTTTTCACTTTATATTTCTCTGTTCTGGAAAACCAGTGCACACAGTGTTACATATCCCAACAAATCTTCTTTTGTCTACCTCTTCATCTGTCACACACGCAACAAAAGAAATATATGAGTGTCATTTTATTAACATTCTTTCTACAAAAGGCTATCATCCTGTTAATGATGATTGGTTACCAAATGTATATCATTATGACAATCATGATGGTCAGGTATCCAGCAGCAACATCCCCTAAGGGCATACTTGGACTATGTCGGATATCTTTATCAAAACATGGATGCCCTTTCCGAGCAAGAACGTTTTGAGGTAGTGGCAAAGTTCTTGAGATTGTCTTTCGACATAGTTGCTATATTTCTTGTCCATTTCTGTTCATTTATTCTTGCAGACTTCTTGCATCCTCCCTTTTATGCTAATACTAATATTAATTTAATTTCTCTCGTAATTTTCAGTTTGGCTATAGAGACTACTTGCAATCTCCATTGCAGGTGAATCACCGTTGCATTCCATAATCCCCCCCACGGCTCTGTGATTTTTTAACATCAAATATGTCCTCTTTGGGTGGGCGAGGTCAAGAAATGTTTTATGATGTGTTCTGTAAATTCAAGTCAGTTACTGCAATTTTTTTTTCCTATGTTTCTTACCTGCGCTTGATGAGTTTCTATTATGTCCATTGTAGTCATGCCATTACCTAGGCGCCCTGGCAGCGGAGAATGCTCTCCATGGTTGGTCGCCTAGCCTGAAGCGTGGCAGATATGAAATGTCATTGCTTAGGCATTCATAGTGATGCCCATAATTTATTTTTCATTAAATCTGTTTTCACACGGCAACCCCCAATCTATTCTTTTTATTATTTAAATGTATAAGAGCACGAGGCTTCAAGACAAAACCTAAATGGAGTAAAGAGAAAAACTAAAAATAAATCTTTGCCACCAAGCTTGCATTTTGTTTTATCATTTTCTCCTTTCTTTCTTACTATCTTCCCCTTTTTCATTTTATTCTCTTTATTTACCTCTGTTTTATTTTTTCTTTGTTTTTGTGTTTCTTTAGATAGCAAACACATGAACCACATCACTGCTTTCTGCTATATTTTTGTAGTTTAATTTATTGAAAATAGATCTTCCTCTTGGTACATACTATATTTTATATTACTCCCTCTGTCCCGAAATGAAGTTCCCGGTTTGACCTACACACGTATTTATGTAAGGTAGAGTTTTGTTTTGGCTTTCCAAGTATACCCATACTTTGTGTCAAATGACTCAAATCAAGCAAAAAGTGGGTAAAAAGTAAGGGTAGTTATGACGTTCGAGTTAAAAGTGGTTTCCTTTTGTAGAAATGAGAACTTCTTTTGGGACATCCATAAAAGAAAAGTGGGAACTTCTTTTCGGGACGGTGGTAGTATATTTTATCATATGTTATATTTAAATATTTTTATGGCTACTTGTCGCCTAACAACCTATTGCCTAGGCAACAAGGTGGCTCACCGGCTCTGTGGCTTGCAAAGTCACCGTGACAACCTTGATTTTGTTTGCAGCCTCTCATGGATAACTTGGAGGCTCAAACATATGAGATATTCGAGAGAGACACTGTCAAGTATGTTCAGGTATTTTTCTGTATCATATCTGTTCCTTTATGTTCTTTCTGATAGAAGTTTTAGTTGGGCACTTTAAGAGATTTCTGTTAAATAAGCATTGCCATATTATCCCCTTAATCAGAACATTCACATTGATCTTGGGAGTCAACTGGATGCAAGGTCTGGGAGCAATTTCTTGGAATCGTAAGTATTCTACGGTGCAATTTCACTGGCACGGCAGTATCATTGAATGGTACTGCGGTCAATCCGGTCATGCAGCTGCCAATCATTCCCTCACTAACATGGTCATTCAGACGGTCACTGATTAGTTGGCCCCTACCAGTACCCTTATTTTCAGAAGGACGAATTTAAACGCCAATAAGAAACTATGTTGGCACAAGGGATCATCCAATTCAGTCGTTCCTCATTTTATCACTAGTCTTACTGGTTAAAAAGCAATATGCTTTGAATTCTTCCACAAAAGTTATTGTGTTGTACTCCTTCAGTATCCCTGTTCTCTGCTCATACATCGTTGGCGACCGCAATACCCTGCCATAAATGCAAACAGAGCTTAACATGTTCATCAGAGATGGACTTCTAGCAACATAAAATGGGATATCATTTTCAAAGAAAAATGTGCCAATGTTTAAGCAGACTTGACTTCTGTGCTCCATCTTTGTTTCCATCCAAAATTTCCAAAACTCTGACCATTGTTACCTGAATTCCTCTTGAAGAAATGCCACCAAGTGGTCTTGAGATTTCATTGCAGCTTCCAAAGTAAGAACCACAGCCTGTTATTTCCTCAAAGTTTCAGCCCACCATAGCCCATACATAGATCCTCCCCTGACGCTAATAGTCCAGCGTCTCTGTTGTTACTTCATTAGGCATTTTAGGACAAGCTGAAACATTTTAATGGGTTGCTCCAAGATGGTCTTTTAATCTATTCACGCCTCCTGTTATAACCTTGCTACAATATCTGCTATGGATATAACATATCCTTTTTTTCACCTTTGGCAGAAACTTTCTCTTCTACTCCATTACTCGAAGCAGGATCTCTCCTTTAGGTTCCACCAGCCCCACCTTGAGTCCCACCAGTGGCACTAGTTTCTTTTCTTTTTCCCTTTTTTTGTTGAACGGTCAAGACTAATATGAGCAGAGGACTTAGAAATATCCAGGAGAAGAGTTGCTCTTCTCCTAAGGGTTTCGTATAAGAATGATTTTTGAATTCGTATACTAGCACAGAAGCCTAACATTTTGTTGCTCTTCATCCCACAGAAGTGTTTTTTATAAACTTAAATCAGCGAAAAAAACAATGTTCTTCGGCCAGGTTCAGGAAAAAAAGAGAATATTTCTGCACAAGGCGTGAGCCTCTGTCACCTTATTTGGCTACGCGCCAAGGTGTTAAAGCGTACGTTTCTTGTCGTCGCAGGAAGGCTTAAGCCTCAGGCCTCAGGGTGAAATACCCTCGTTCGTTCCGCACTGAGGCGCACCTCAACGCGTGCTCCTTGACTGATTTTATACCACGGCTGTATGTCACGGTTGTTTTGACGTTGTCGACTTAAGTATGCAAATGAAAACTTAATGATATATTGTCTCATCTTTAATCTTTTTAAGATGCCCTTTGTATTCCTATTTTCCTTACTCTGTTCTCCACCTTATTACCTTAAACTATCTTCTTTCTCTCTGTCCTTTTTCTTCCTTTTCCTGATGAACTGAGGCCAGTTATACCAAATTCTGTAAACTGAATAGTGTAATAAAGATGGGAGGAATAGTGCCTTTTGGAAGCCTGGAACTGATTTCAGTTGTAGTACAGATTTTGTACTTCGATCATTAAATAATAACTTTCCTAAATGATTTTTTCTATTGTATTCACAGTATCAAAGAGCGGTTGCCACTGCTTTGATTGATAGAGTTCCAGATGAAAAGGCTTCTACAGCCACTACAGTAAGCATTTTGGGTGAAAAATGTTATTATGAATGGAAGATTTAACTACATATTGTCTTGTATAATGTCCTAGCTCTGCACTTGAAACAGGTATTGATGGTTGTAGGGGCTGGACGTGGACCACTTGTCAGGGCTTCATTACAGGTTCACCATTCCCCTAGTTTTTTGATGGGGTTCTTGGGGGCTGTAGATGGTAAGCAGAGGCAATGCATTTAAGCTTTCTTTCTCACATTGCTTCATTGTTTTTCTTTTGTTGATAGGCTGCTCAAGATACTGGCCGAAAGTTGAGAGTATATGCCGTGGAGAAAAATCCAAATGCAATTGTTACTCTTCATGTAAATTTCTGACTATTAATGGAAGTGAAAAAGTCCTCCCTTTTTAAAATATTCACTCACAGTGTTGATCGTATTTTTGGGCACTTTGGTGCCCTTTACACCTCATACTATATATATTAACTTGCTGTTAATTGGGTCTTCAAGAGTTTAGTAAGGTTGGAAGGATGGGAACAAACTGTAACAATTGTTTCAAGTGATATGCGTTGCTGGAATGCTCCAGAGAAAGCTGATATTTTGGTATGCAGTTTCTTTTTTATTTTGTCATGTTTATTTAAGCTTTTGATCATTTCCTTGGCCTCTGTGAATGCCAAAATGTGACTTTTTGTGTGTGTAAGTGCATGCACACAAACGGTATAAGACACAGTTATGGCGGCTTTCACAGAGAACAAAGAAATGATTAAAAGCATTAACGGTAATCATTTTCTTAATATGCTCTTTAGACCTTTTATGGGTAACATGTTTGAGTTTAGGAGGGATGGTTGTGGATGAAAAACTTAAATGCACATTGATAAAAAAGTGGAGAAGAGTATTTTAGATCCAAGAATGCTCGCTTTCCTTCTAATCAACATATTTTTCTTTATTAATCAGTTTGATTATTATTGTTTTTAAATTTATTCTTAATCCAAGTACAGGTCAGTGAATTGCTTGGATCTTTTGGTGACAATGAGCTGTCTCCGGAATGTCTTGATGGGGCTGAGAGATTCCTTAAGCAAGATGGAGTTTCTATACCAGCATCGTGTGTTCCATATTTTCTTCATTTTGCTATACAAATGGCCTTCTCAATTATGGAAATAAAAGTTCTTGTAAAAAAATCTGATGCTTTTTCGTTAATGATATTACAGGTATACCAGTTTTATCCAACCAGTTACGACATCTAAGCTGTACAATGATGTAAGAACTTGTCAAATGCACCTTCTTTTTTACTATGTCTGTTTTTTTTTTTTTTAAATTCCGAGTTTACTGATTTTACAGATAAAGTCACATAAAGATGTAGTGCACTTTGAAACTGCATATGTTGTCAAACTACACCGTGTAGCTAGGCTTGCTGCTCCACAGCCTGTAAGTTCATTAATGTTTGATGTATTCTCTCCATCTAATGTTTGCAAGCATATCTTTGTGTATGTATTGAAACCAATACACACATATTCGGCATTATGTGGCTCATCCTTAGTTTTATATGTGCATGTATTGGAATCAGTACTCATATTTGGCATGATGCTGCATTCCACAGCCTGTAGGTTTATTAGCAATTTGATGATGTCTCCATGTAATGTTTCCATCCATATGTGTGTATATATGTATATGTCTTGTGCTACTGTGTCTACTTGTATTTTGTTTTCGCACTCTTTTGAATTCAGCTCTCAAAATAAATCAACATCTTATGTTTTTTATTTCCTATTATACAGTTATGAAGTCCTTGTTCATTTTCATAGAAACTTTTGTGGGCTTGCATATTTTGTACTTTGGACTTGTCAATTTTAACCCACCATACTTTTATTTATTCGTCAATTTCAACTTTGAACTTGTTTAGGTCTTTACATTTACTCATCCAGAGCATTCGACCAAGAAGGACAATAATAGGTATAGAAGGCTTAAATTTGAGATACCCATTGACACCGGGTCAGCAATGGTGCATGGTATGTACAAAATATGGCTTTCAAATTAACCTTTTGAGCAATTTTTCACTGGGTAATGAATGGGCTAGTCTGTATTGTTGGATCACATTGATGCATTGGATAAGTGTTGTATTTCTCTTTGCGTGGTTCTAGAAAAATCATAATTAATTATGACCAAGGACCTGCTTTTTTTGCCTGCTAGTTGTTGCATCAAACCTGCTAGTTTTTTGGTTTGAAATAATTTGAATTTTATTACTCCCTCCGTCCCATAAAATTCTTCCCACTTATCATATAGCGATGTCACGATTTTTTCCCATTTCCCTTTTTGGAAAGTTTCGTGTGACTAATATTCATTTACCTTTTTCTTAATCAACCACAACCATACATTTCAACTTCATTCTCACTTTCTTAACTCCGATCCAAGTCAAACCGGGAAGAATTTTATGGGACGGAGGGAGTATTATTTATGTGGATGTTTTTACCAGTAATTGTGTAATGTACTATTGTAATTATTAATAATAGTTAGTGTATGTTCTTTTTAAGTTATTATTTTACAATGATAATAATAACAGTCTAAAAAATCAATTATAAATAAAAGTTTTCTTTTGGTATTTTTGTGACTAGATGAGTAAAATTCAGAACACACTTATTAATGAATGTAATTACAATATTAAGATAACATTCACTTTATACCAATTCAACCACCTCTGAATATGGGTGAATTTTGCATTTGAGTGGTATGTGAGCAGCTTGCAACCCAATTGATCAACTAGTTGGCTTGGTCTTGGCTTTGACCAAGCTCGACTTGAGTTCAAGCTACTTGAAATGAGGAGTCAATTTTGAGCTTGCATTTTTACAACTTGAGCGAGCACATTCATATAGTTGACACCTAAGTAGCAGAAGCCTATTCGCATAGTTGACACCTAACTGACCTTAGTAGCACGAGCCTTGCTTAGTTGACACCTATGTTGCATGAAAACAGACAAATGATATTTAAAAAAAGAGAACATTCCCTAAATAGGAGTAAAACAATGTAAAGTTCCAAAAATTTAAGTATCATGCTTTTCCTTCTAAATAAGAGTGCATTATTGTCATCTTGAAAATTTATGTCATATTATGGCATTATCAGACGTTTAATGTGGCGGTATACTGTCAGTCTGTATTTTCCAAACCTGACCGTAGTTCCTCCGATTTAGGGAATAAAAATACAGTTCTCCTATTTTGGAACTTCAAAACATTTTACTTCTATTTAGGAAAATTTCTTTTAAAAAAATATAGAATATGAAACATGGAGGGAAACACATAAATATTAGAAAAGATATGGATATGTTTATAAGTACCTTTTTCACATATATATGCATATATATATATATATATATATATATATATATATATATTGTTCTCATATGCATGTAGGGGTCTGTGTTTCATTTCCCATGAAAGCAGTCTCCGTGATTTAATTCCGTTATCACCGGAGGGTTCTAGCACCTAGCGTCGTTATAAATCGCTGGAGGGAGAAGATGAATACTAACTCCAATTTTTAGAAGTGTCCGTAAAATTAAGAACAAAAAATACTGGGAGGTGCACCTTATCAAGGATACCTCCCGGCCATCTTCCTTTTTTGTTTGTAGCCATTATTGTCGCTGGAAGTCCACCGGAGAAGTGATATTGCCAAATTATTTTTTAAAAAATAATCGAAAAAGAGTTGAAGAGGCACCTTTTAGTATTTTTCTTTTGATTTTCCAGGCACATTGCGAAATCAGTGTTAGTGTTTATCATCTTTCTAACGGCGTTAGGTGCCGGACCCCTCCAATGATTACTTTAGCACATGCCATTATCCAAATTCTTTTTATCAATGGAAAGAGCCCCAAAACAGGAACTTGATGTTTCCAAATTCCAAGTTGTTGACATGCTTCCTAGTGGCGAAACATAAGCTGTGGAAAGTTTATCAGTTATCACATGAAATAACCTCCGGGTCATAGTACTCAAGGGTTATATTACTTGAGAACACAAAATTTAAATTGCATTTCTAATTTCACTAGCCACATAGGCACAAAACCTGGATGCGGTCAAGTTTTCTTCTACCCTCTTCAGGAGGGTGGAGAGTTGGAGACTATAGCTGCTGGTAAACTCATTCTCTCCAGCCATGTTTATCTGTATTTTTAATCATAAATCCTTCATATACCCTCTAAACTTTGGTGTAAAATCTCACCACTTGGGTTTCGACTTGCTTACACTTGTTTTCCTATTGGATCTAACTAAAGTGGCTCTCTAGCCATCTGTGATAAATACTTTCATAATTTACCGCAAGTCCGTAAATGCACTAAATAGGAGTAGACACAAGATGATATCCCTAAATATGAGTACGGTATTTTTTGCTGAATATGAGTACTATGCTTTTTCCTAAATATGAGTAACGACTGTCATCCTGAAATCATATTCTCATATTATGACATTAATACTGCCATATTAATATCATAATATGGCAAGTATAATTTATGTATGACAGTACTTTACTCCTATTTAGGAAAGAAATATAGTACTCCTATTTAAAGAAACCACCGTGTTTTACTAGTATTTTGGCTTATCAAGAAAATTTGAAATTAGCTGTTTATTCAAGGATAGGCTTCTCAATTCCTGTTACAATGTGTAATTGAAAGTCTGCTTAATTTAATATGCTATTTTCAAACAAAGCAATGTAGTTTTTTAATGGGGTGTATTTATGTTATACCGTAGTCAGTGTTCTAAAAGGCGCTAAGCGCTAGTCAGGCGGTGACTGGCTGCCTAGCGCCTTCCTTTCTAAGGCAGGCACCTAGGTGCCAACTAGCGCGCCTAGATATATTCCCCCTTTGTTTCTTTGTTTTATTTTTTTTTCCTTTTGAAATTTAAATATATTACTAAGAATTATATAATATTTTGACAATTGAATTAGCTCATATTATCATTAACTGTTACCGTGTATGTTTTTTTTGTAGTAAAATTATCAATAATAATAAAATAATTAATAGATAAATGAAGAGATTTGTTTTATTTAGTCTCTAAAAGTGTTCATATATATTCTAAAAAGTTAATATATATTAAAAAAATATTTTTTTATTGTAGGAATATGAAACTAAATTATATAGGAATGGAATACTTAATGATGAAACGTTGTTTTAAAACGAAACAGAAAAAATAAGTCGGGTCAGGATTTATTTTTTAATCTGGACTGCCTAGTGACCGACTGATTTTTCTCACTGATTACAACAAAATCAAGCCACCTGGCAACCGCCTAGGCCGATTTTTGGAAGCATGGTGTGCTTTTATTTTTTCTTAAATAATTCGTTCTTAAAGAAGAAATGATTTCGGATAAGTCATCCCTAGGCATGTCTTTTTGACAAAATTAACTCATTTTCTATGTAGGATTTGCGGGTTACTTTGATGCTGTACTTTACAAGGATGTTCATTTAGGCATTGAACCTTCAACTGCAACTCCTAACATGTTTAGCTGGTATGACATTTCTCTGGAGTTTTATTGATTGATTGACAATAGGTTCGCATATTGATTAATATTGATTATTTTGAATTTTTTTCTATAAAAATTCTTTCATGGATTAATTGGGAATGACTATTCAATCATTCACGTTTGATATTTTTTCTTTTGAGTCATCCTTGCTGATATGATTAAATAATCACCGCTTAGGAGTTCTCATGGATAAAACTCCCAGCATTATGAGGCTTCTTATCTTTGTTTTGTAGTTATGTTGAGTGATTATTTTCTAAAAAATGTATATTTTTTTAGGTTCCCAATATTCTTTCCATTGAGGACGCCAGTATGTGTGCGGCCCGGCATCCCTCTAGATCTTCATATGTGGCGATGTTGTGGTTCTACCAAGGTAACAACACTAGCCTTTGCATGCTAGAGCAGCATATTAAAAGTCTGCTCTGCTTTTACGGGAGTGAAAAATGAATTTCTATATATTATTTGATTGAAAATGAAATAGGTTTGGTACGAATGGTGCATCACTTCTCCAAATGCATCTCCAATGCACAACAGCAATGGCCGTTCCTATTGGGTTGGCTTGTAACCAACCACGCAGCCAACCCTCGTATGTTGGAGTTAATCAAGCGGCATTTTTATCATTTTCCAGTATTCCAATAGACAGCAATCAAAGGATTGTTTTTTATCAAGTGCCACCAGCAACGGATCTTGTTGACTAAGCATTGGATTGTAGTGTTTTTCTATAATAATAAATTAATAATTATTTTCACTTATGTTATTTGAGCAGGGTATTTTATTTGGATATTGAAACAATGGCCATTTTCTGCATATTGTTTGCTTTTCGGAGATTACGTATATGGTGGAGGCTTGACATCCA